AATGCACTCCCGCCGTGAATCGGCGTAAAGTTAACATTCTCTCCCTCGGTACTGTAGAGAAACGTATTGAGCTGAAAAGGATGATGGCTGTACGCCTGTGTGAGGTGGAATGCATAGCCGCAGTGGGGGACCTGTGGCACCAAATTCGCGGTCATCTGACCGCTGCTGCCGAGGAGACCATCGGGCGCACAAACTGTAATCCGCCTGCCTATTGTGATGTGTACAGTGTGACGATTGGCGCATTGGTTTGGAGGAGGAATGCAGCATTTGCTGCACATATGGCAGACTCCAGTGGTTTGAGGAAGAAGAGCAAGTTTGGCAGTATTCGACGACGACTGATCCTAGAACTCCGTCACATTAAAATTGCATGGTGGACGGAGAAGGCGAAGCGGATAGAATGCTACGCCGAACGCAGACAATACAAGGAATTTTTTGACTTCGTGAAGGCGGTGTATGGACCGAGGTTGGAGCCGCTGAGGACGCTAATCAATGGTAGCTAAGGCGTTACCTGTACACAGACTGCAGACATAATGCAGATGTGGCAGAAGAGCTTTAACTGTTTCTTGAAGAACCTTACGGAGATCGAGTGGCTTATATTGAACGGCCTTAAACAGTACGATGTGAAGACAAGTCTGGCGAACACGCCGACACTGGAGGAGACGCAGGGAGCACTTGTTTAGCTGCGAAACGGCAAGTGTGCTGGGGCCGACGGGATCCCGCCTGAAATATTGAAACACGGCGGACCCGCATGAGCTGCACCACTTGGTGCAAAGCGTGTTGATTGAGGAGCCGGTGCCTCCTGAGCTGAAGGATGCCCTTGTGCTACCACTGTACAAGGGCAAAGTAACAAGCAATGTTGCACGAATTATCGTGGCATCAACTTGCTGAGTTGTGTGGGCAAGGTGATTGTCCGAATCCTGCTCAACTACCTAGTCAGTCAGGTAGTGGAACCGAACGTGGCAGAAAAGCAGTGTGGATTCGGTTCGGGGCGCAGCACTAGAAACATAGTGTTTGTGGCAAGTTAGTTGCAGGAGAAGTGCAGAGAACGACACTAGCCATTGTACTCGCTTTTTGTTGATTTCACCAAGGCATTTGATACGGTGAACCGCGAGGCACTGTGGCTGATGTTGGGTAAGTTTGGTTGCCCGAGTAAGTTTGTAAGTTTAATTGAATGTCTGCACAGTGGTATGCGAGCGAGGGTGCAGCTGAGTGGAGAGACCTCGGATGACTTTGCAGTTGTCTTTGTTGTGAAACAAACCTGTGTCTTAGCTCCTGCCCTGTTTAATATCTATCTTCATGCAATGTTGTCTTGTGCTTTTGATGCGGCTTGGGCTTACAATGTTCGTGCGGAGCACCGTATTGATGGTGGGTTGCTGAACATCCATCGTTTCGTTGCGAGAAGTCTAGTCTGAGACAACTATCCGTATGTTGCAGTTTGCTAACAACTGTGCGTTGTTTTCACACAGCGCGGATGAGTCGCAGCACATGACTAGTGCTCTGGCTTAGACATCGGCCAAATTCGGGCACACCATCAACACAAGCACAACTGTCTGTCTCTTTCAGCCTTCACCGGAGGTGCAATCTTCAATATTGCCGCAAATCAGCATTGGTGCTGAAGTATTGGAAACCACCTCCCGTTTCTGTTACCTTGGGAGTGTGATATCGTCTGACCAGCACCTACACATCGAGCTTCGTATATATATATATATATATATATATATATATATATATATATATATATCTTCAAGCTGCCAAACTACGTCAATGGGAGTTTAGGGTAAACCAATGGCAACTGTTGTTTTTATGATAGTATGGCAGTCCTTCGCCGCCAACTGTTTGATAACCACAAGAACGCGTTTACACAAGTACATCATAAAATAGTCTTGCCTCTGAAAGAAATCCGCCGGTTATTAAAGTGTCAGGAGCCGACGGAACCTGGTCCGTCGACATCATGCTCCTGCTGGCTCAGCACATGCGGTCTTGTTCTCCTTATCATTGCCGGCTTAGTACAATGAACAATGAATTTAGACGGGTTAAGAAGCATTGCTTTACAAGTCCCGATGGATACTTGGTGGGGATATCAACATAAAATTAATGATGATAGGATAGTAAAATAGTCAACACTTTACTTTGAAAATGAGGACTTATCGTTTGCTTCGCTGTAGTCCTGCGATCCTCTTAGATTCACAGCACCCACAGTTAACAACAAATAGTTCCATGGTAAACTCAAGGTGTAGGATGGAGATATAGTGTTAAGGGACCAAGTGTAAGTGGATGTGTGCTTCGTCCAACCGCATTTTAAATGCTGTTAGTGTCGGTGCAGAGACGGCCGATTCTGGGAGAGCATTCCACGGGTGACAGACACGTATGGAAAAGCAATTTCTGCGACACTCCAGACGACTGTATTGTTCTGCGAGTTTTAATGAGTGACCCCTCAGGTTTTTATTGCTGCTGAGTTGCAGTACAGGGTGGCACCCATGATGTGGGTCTCGCAGAATCAAGCATGCCATAATCAGATCGCCTCGTAGTCTGCGATAGCTTCCACTGAACAATCCCAGTCTTTGCAACCACTCCTGGTAGAAAAGCTTGAGCATTCTAATCCCGCTCTTAGATGCCCGGCGTTGTGGCTGCTCTAGTGCATTAAGGTCGTGTTTCAGCCTTGGATGCCAGGCTTGAATTGCGTATTCGACATGCGGGCGAACATACGCACTGAGCATTTCTGGAAATTTGGAGCTGCTTATTTGTTCAAACGCCCAACTCAACAGCCAAGAGCAACCAAGTCACCTTGGACCAGAACGTCTAAGTCACGTTCGAGAGTTGATTGTTGTAGTATATTCGTTCAGAGTCGGCATGAGTAGCTGCTTTGATGTCGGATGGAAAGCACCTTGCATTTACTGACGTTGAAATGCAATAAGTTTTGGATCGACCATTGATACACCGTATCTAGGTCGCTCTGGAGCACATGTTGGTCGGCGATGGCCTGGATCACCAACAGAACAAGGAGGTGCCGACATCGAAGAGGGGACCAGTATGTTGTATTGGTGAACCTCAGCGCATGGTGTGTACGCTGCTTCTGGTTCCACTTACCTACGCAGATCAATAATGCGGTAGAACTGACGCGTGTGCTAATCGTTGCTTCAGGTGGTCTGTACATGTGACTGTTTGTGTTGTAACATGTTTGACAGCGTCTGGTTATTTCAAGCTCCTGACTGGCTGAGCTTGATGTGATCGATGGCAAGGTGCCAACATGTTGAGATCCGCCACCTTGCTTGTTGGATACAGGAGAATCTCAATCGTTGCTGGGTTACTAGGTGCACTGGCTTCATGATGTTACTAAGCTCAGATGGTGATTCCATCGGTGTGGAACGGGACACAACCCAGCCACCGTCCTGTGTGCGTCGGGTATCCATGTTTAACCTGTGCAGTTTCATGACGTACGTGTTGAAGCAGCATGGACCGCCTCCCAATCAGTCATGGTTCTAACTGCATGCCCCACCCCCAGTCCTATTTCTTCGGGTTTCCAGTGGATATGGGGTGTGTGTGTGTGTGTGTATGGAGCTGTGAGTACTGCAGCTTAACTCACCCATGGCCCCTCTGCAGGCGCCACGTCATTGATCGCAATCATACTGACAGTTGACCCCTGGAACTGTTCTCGCCCAGGTTATTCGTAGTAATACAGGGTTTTCTGTAGACGTGCTGTTTCGATAAACGCTTGTGTGTTTAGTCTTACTATGCATGTCACTTGAGTAATTCTACGCAGATATATCGGAATTGCTTCTGACGGTCGTTTTTCTATTAGCTTTTATGATGCTTCCCAAAAGGTTTTGTATATTTTCTGCTTGAAGGAAGGAAAGGAGTTCTTAATTGTTTGTGGCGACTTTTACATTCTTTCATACCAAAGATGTTAAGGTTACTAGTTCGTTTTTTGCTGTTTTGTATAGGACCGTATAACCTACTGGTCCATAAGCGGTTGGTGCGTGAAACCCGTTAGATTTTTGCGTAATTTTGATATCCTACTCTTGTTCAAAACAATATTAGCCCCATTCTTTCATTTTGGCCTCACCGAACTCAGCCCTGCCATAAGTTGACACTATACTGTTTCCCTTGTTTAGAAGTGTGGTGAATATTAAGCTGCACCTCTGGAATAAACCGAAACAGAACTTTCGTCGCTACCGATTTCCGAGCAGTTTTTATGTTGTGTTGCCGAAGGCGGTCGTTGGCTAGTGACCGTGCTCAATTTTGGGGAACTTGCTTGCAGTTAGTAGACGCTTAAACTGAAATCGGACAGTTATGAATCTTCTTCAGACCAAATATTCTATTTGGTTTGTGTAGATTTATGACAAGCTGGGAGGATAATCTGAACGACCGATAGATGAGGTGCAGGGCGACCATGCTACAGGTCAAAGTGACACTTAAAGCGGTATGTAAGAGTGGAAAGATCCCACGCAGTTTCATTTGCCAACACACGAATCTACGTCCTTCCAATTTCTAATACCAATATTGGATCGCTTGATATTGCACCTCAGATTGTAACGCGATCGCCCGCCTTGTCATATCTAGGCTGTCGTGATTCTTCTCTAAGTTTGTTGCAACTCTGCAGCCATCATCCCCAGGTTCACTTTGTCTGACGAAGCTCTTGCGTCAAAAGCAATAATTCCCTCACTAGCCGTACGGACTGTTTTACGTCATTCTCGATTCACGCGTTCTCGATCGGTTCAGGGCATATTTCAGTAAATAGTCATTGATTTGTTCACCGAGCCAGCAATTTACTTACAATCAAATTGTCTAGCTCTGAAAGTCAGTCAACACACTTGCTGGCTCGAGCTACGTATATGCCGAGTTATTGTATTTTCAGATTTTGCATGACAATTTTAACTTCACTATCATTTCAAGTTTTTGGAAAAATGTCCCTAATACACAGTGATTCATACACTGAACTAACTGCTAGTAACTCGTATTTCTATCGTTGTGAAACTTTATATAAGAGAAAGGCTGTGCGACCTAATTACATGTTTCCATTAGAAATTCAGTGCTATACTCACATCAGTGTTCAACAAATCGCTTCAATGGCGACTAAATGTGTTGTTTCTTGATTGAGATCTGCATTCTACTACTTAGCAAGCTGCACCCAGTTGTAATCGCTTCCAATCTCGTAGTAAATGTTGGGGGTCTGAAAATCCGTGTACTCCAATCCTTGCTTTATGCGCCACATGTTTACAGTTATAATCATGAAGGCAAATGTTTCTGATATGTTGCGGTTTCACATCTATTCGTCGCAAAGCCAATCCAACGGTGACGTCATCCAGTGGGAGGAAGATTTGTGTTTTGACCATATTATCTAGCAACCGCGTAGCCACAGGCATGGAGATTAGCATGAAGCCTCCAGCGAGGAATGGAGGGAAGACCGGATAAGGATACTCTTCATGTGCAATGTAGTACCTGCTCCTGTTGTTACGATATGGTTTGCTCCTTGGATACAGATGACCACCGATGTAATCCTTGTACTCTCGTTCTGGTACTTGTAGTGCTGTCTTCATCACTAAGTCAGGACTGATAAGAAAATCTTCGTCCACGATGAGCACGTAGCGAAACAAAGGGCAAGCCAGCCTTGCGAATGACCACGCGGCCAAGAGTTTCCTGGTGGTCAATTTATACGTGTCTGGAAAGTCGTACTGGACAATATCCCGATTATTGTGAAATTCCAACTGCAGGTGACTGTGAACGATACTGTGGTCTTCCTCGATATGTGTACCCATGATAAACAATACCTTGTATCGCTTTTTATATCGCTCCGTCCAGCACGGGTTAGCCCATGTTGATCGGATTGCTTCCCGGTGACGGGAATGATTTGGCGTTGATTTGACCATGACTAATACGTCACCGGAAACAAAGCCGCCCTTGGGGTGAGAACACACTGCATTGTAGTAAATGGTGAACCGATAAGGTTCCTTGAAGTCCCGATTTCGTGAGCGAAGGCAAAGGTAAACAACTAAAGTTGATACGATGCAAGAAAGCAGAATTTTCTCTCTTCGGCATTGCACAATCCTAACAGAAATGATGGACAAAAACTGCGCAAATTTAGTGCACATATTACAAAAGTTCTTGAAAGCGCTAGCTTATTTGACATAACGAAAATTGAAGCAACTCTTGCCGACGCAATTTTCAGTAAAAAAAAGTTAACACCAAAGTACGGCACGATTTAATTCCGGAGAAATTGCTCTGCATATTTTCAATTGCTTACTACTGAACACGTGAAATTAATATCATGAAGAGTTAAGAAAGTTGATAGCAAATTCACCAACAGACGTACACCACATATAGGCGCACACACGTCTTTGTCAAGTCATCAGCTGTCTATTGGTTTACTATCAAGGTAGAACCAGTGTGACAGACTAGAGTCAAGCCGTTTGATTGAGACCGTCTCAGCGTATCGCATCACATGAGTGTTGTTTGATGCGTAGATCACACTGAACATAGTTGTGGGGTCAAGACCGTATTTGTCAGTCGGGTGATGATGCGCGATGATTGACGCAGGCGTCTTAAAAGGTTGATCACTTGCGTGCCTTGGTTGCACAAGTTGGGTGATGGACCGGGCTAGGTTCGAAATTAGATTCCTAACCAACGCTGGGATATGCTCCGCCATTCTCACCCGCAATTGGCGCTCTGTCATGTCTATGAAAGTGACCTTGCCATTACACATAAGTTTGTAAACCATGTGTGAATGGCTGGACAGTAGTAGCTGCGGTTTAACTGAAGGTGTGGGAATGCGCGTCATTGTGTATACCAGTACGGGTTGCGCCGCGCGATACACTCGTGCAACCGCGGATTTCAAACGCCGTTGAAATATCTGGCCTACATCATCTCCTTTAAACGGTAGGTTCAGTGTAACTTTAAGCTTTGGCACGGTGGGCACCTTCTCTTTCTTCCTCTTCATACTAAGTGTGCGATGAAAGAATTTGGATACCCGTTCTCTTCTAGAGTGTTAATGAACAATCGCACTTCTTCATCTAGCGTGTCTGGAGTGCAGATTTTTCTTGCTTTGTCAAACAGTGTCCGCATCAATTTCTGTTTGTAGCGTTTGGGTACAAAACTATGGAAATTCATACACTGGCCCTTCCACCTCGGCTTACGGTATACCGATCTACCTACCGATCCACCAGTCCTGTGTTCGATCAGTACGTCAAGAAATGGCATGATTTCATTCTGCTCTGTTGTCACCCTGATGTCTTGGTGCAGGTCATTTAATCTGGTGTTCAGTTGCGTTAGTCGTTCCTCTTGATCACAAATGATGAATATATCATCCATGCATCGGCGAAATAGCACGGATTGGTGGTCCCAGTAGGGATTGTGCGTAACAGAATTCCGTCTTTTGACAACGCAGCAGCTGAAACAGAACTACTGTCGCACCCTTTTGATCTTTGATGGAAGTTTCGTTTCAATGGTGCTTCCTCCCAACATAATCTGTGCCTATGCAAAAAGCGAATGCTTGTAATGACTTCGGCTCTAAATTGAAACATAGGTTGTCGTTGCTTGGTTAAATTGTTGTAACACAGTCCCGCAATACCGCTTCGGAATAGCTACCCCATAATTTAACCAATTCTTGCGTTTAAAAGCGCAATGGAACGAATGGCCTAAATACAAATCATATTGCAGCTAACACGATGGAAGGAGCGTATTCACTTCGCCAGCTAGTAAAAGTGAATCATCACAAAGAATCTCAATCTGTTTTCACCGGAATTACATGGTGATGCGCTGATAAATAAACTGTTGTAGTCCCACATGTGTCAGAGTACAAGTAACTATTCATATAATTAACTTGGTGGAGACCCCATCGATAACAGTAAAAAGTCAGTTGGAAATTGCTATTTCGATCGATTTAGAAGATTCTCTATAATAAATTGCAAGCGCATAGGGGAAGTTATGTCAACGAGTTTTGAGTAGAGCGGTAGACGAAACGCATGCACATGTAACTGCCTACATGAACTACTGAACGCTTTCCAGCTTCTTATATTCTGTCATCAGGATCACCAGAGTAGAGACTGCCAGTTGGTCACCACAGCGCCGTAAAACTTTCTTCCGTTTCCTGGTCAGTTAGCTGCCTATACCTCATTGTTTACAATACCACACTAAATTTGAGCTAGACATATGCTGATAGGACTGAAAGCTATCAAAGTGTGTGACGGCTAAACGGTTCCTTGCGGAGAGGCTTTGAAGTAGATAGGGATGGTCTTGATTTAGCAAGGTGAAATTTAGACAGAATGAACCGCTCTCAGAAGCTATCGGATCTGGGTAGATGAACTGAACCGATGAGAGATAAGAAGCTAGAAATCCATCCAAACAACTCCCGCACTAGTTGACCAAGGGGCCATAGAAAAGGTTAAATTTGATCAGCCTGACATGAACAAAGCGTAGTGTGATTACAAATTAGAGGAGGGATTGACATAGGTAGTAGCCACTGAACAGTCCAAGTACCTTCGGCAGTTCGCCAAGCAACCGCATGCTTAGTGTGCTGAACTCTGTCGCACATTTTCTCTGCTCCAGGGCGGTCATCATGGTTGGCGGCCTCCGGTTTCGGATTTGCCTGTCACTGTGGCAAGCCACAGGACGCCTGCGCCTACAGAGGGACCATGGATGGCTTGCGCTGCACCACCCACAGCTCCAACCACATACCCCATATCCAGTGTAAACCCGAAGGAATAAGACCGGGAGGCATGCGGATGGGAACCACGTTTCATCAACGGAGCCGGCCCACACTCCTTCACAGGCAAACACAAGCACGCTGTATTTGGGGAATCAAGCGCACACAAGGCGGTGGCTGGACCGTAGTCCGCTCCACACTGAGTGCATGGAACCGCTCTTTGAGCCTAGCACGGCCACAAGAACCGTGCACCCCCGTCCCCTCCAGCAACGACCAACTGTCTCCTGGAGCCAGTATGAACGATGTAGTGGGTAATAGACAGGTAGGCACCTTGTCAACATACACATCAAGCGCAACCACACCGGGGATATCAAACAACAGCCATTCACTTTAAACGACAAGCTGAAATAAAATAAATCCAACAATGCATACAGATACGGTGGCATAACTCTTCGCTAATTTACCATATGAAGTAACTGCGTTAACAACAAATCCGTGATAAGTAAGAAATGTCCACAAGTTACTTAAAAATGCTACAAAACGCAACAAAATTACCGAAGATAAGCACAATTAGTGTATGCAACGTGGCCAGTTAATAGAACATTATTCAGGGAGGCAGAACAAACCAAATAAAGCGGAATGAAATTTATCCAGCTTAAAAAGACCTAGTTTAAGTGTAAGTTGGTTTAGCCCAACTGCGGTGAAGAAGCATCAAGAATGCATCAAGATTGCGGTCATCATACACTCATACTAATCGGATTACCTACCCGTATAGTGGATACATTTTACGGGATTGATCCCCTTACGGACTGTTATTCGTGTAACCCATACTGTTTTATCACACCTAATGCTCACATTTAGTTGTGTAAATTTGCTTTCTTAACAATTTTCACAGTTGTGGAATTGCGTTCGGCAAACTCGATTGCACACTATCTGTTGATGCTGGAATTACTCCCAGGGGAGTATTTACAAAAACTTTTCGACTCGATTTGTGGCATGCGCGTGCATTCGCACATCGTCGACGCTTAGCTGTTGAAATTCACCCAATACTAGCCAAGTTAATAGACTTAACTCACACAGAACAGTGACGGTCGATAAAGAGGACAAAATGCGTGTGCTTGTGTGTACTTTCATGACACACCTACCCAGGATAACCAGGGCCAACCGTGCGACTGTAACATCAGGCGAATCACGTGACCTGACAAATGTTGCATTCAACTGCAACAGGGGCCGTCACTAGACATGGATCCAATTAGCAGTAAATATGGTGAGTCCAAATGTGCACGGATGCTCAGGTGAGGTCTGAACTGCACCAACTGCTATTGCGTTCTAGCCTAAATGCCGTGGCGTGAGTCAATTGAATGCAACGAGATAAAACTGGCTGATGTGGCCTGGTTTTACCAAGTATGCAGTCGTTCCATTTGTATATTTGTGTTCATGAAAAGTGAAAAATTGACTGAAACAGTTGAGTAGGGAGCAAGTTTCGAGGCCATGCCATTGGAATCTAACAAGACCGACCGTGGTCGCCAGCAAAAGTGTCAGAGCTCTATCCCTATGGCAAAGAGTAAAGTCAGACTTGCTAACTGAACAAGGCACCTACCTGATATCTCCTAAATCATGCTCGGTATGACTACTTTCACCCCATTCCTGGAAGTTAAACTTAACGAGTCGGTTACGGCACCAGCAGTTCAGAGCCGGTGAACGTACACATCGGTCACTGATAAAATTGTCGGAGATGACACCCGCATGTCCATTTACTGTACCAAGTGCGAGCGATATGACGAAGCTTTCACGACTGTCTCCATTGCCAGCTGAACAATCCAAACCGCCAGTCGGAATTCTCGAACCGACATTCGTTAGGCAGAAAAACAGTGCGTTACTTATCTTGTGCATTAACATTCCGGCGTCCATATTTGGCAAGATGAAGTAAGTTGCCAAACGATCGCAACTGGTATTCAGGTTTAGCCCATTATGCTGAGACGCGTAACGCATCACGCACTATGGGGAACCTCGAAATTTTCGAGCAACATGAAGCTCAGCAGAGGAGGCAGAGACCATCAGATCATCATACTCTGAGAAGTTTATCTTCTTTGCGCATGGAACGGGGTGCGCACACATCTTGATCTTCCTTGGAAAGAGCCCTCAAAGAAAAAGGACAAGCAAGGCGGCCCTCCTACAAAAGACAACAAGAAAACCATATGGGGTCATGTTGTTTCCTAGCTATCGGCTTCTTCTAATCACGAAGCGCAAACACATTGTAGGGAGGCATAAGGCAGTGGTTGCCAGAATGACAGAATTACAACGAAAGCCGAGACGGACGAAAACGGGAACAAACACAGGGAGGGAGAGCAGACGGAGCCAGGCTGGCCTAACGGAACGAGAAGAGAACGGGTCCCGAGCGGCGTCTAT